CCCATTGTCATTTTGAAGAAAATGGCCATGCTAGATATGCGGACCATATCAAACTTGTTATTCTAATATATTTATTTTTGTGAAAGTATGCTGATGAGAAAAGTGGTCTTAACGCCGCCCGTTCTTTCGAACATAAAATCGCAAAAAATAATACATCAGGATTTGCGATCACATATAATTAATAGGATCTCGATGATTCGGCATATATCAATATACGGTGAAATGAATTATTTATTCACTGTACTGAGTTATCATTTGAAATCAAAAATAGAATGTTACGAATAATATGAAAGATCAAATGGCGTATTAGAGATTAGTTTGTCTTTATAAACAAAAAAAATCGACTTGTAAATATATGAAAAAAAATGGTTTTGTGAAACTCCTCTTCGTTACATGTCCAGTTATCTTTTCCATTTGTCTAGCTTCTTGCTAAAAACACGTAACTTGTAAAGAATATGTCTGATTATGGGATTGGTTTGATAGGTGACAATATGAAGTGGCGATGCACACCTAAATCCATATTGAATACAAAGTTGAATCGATATTGAGCAACTTTGAATTCAACGTACCAAACTTATAATCAACATAATATTACTCACCTTATTCTTTTCCAATAGTTTCTCTATAATCTCCATATCTTGATGAGGTAACTTGGAATGCCAATTCAATGTTGTTTTGTCATTTAAGTTAACGAAGAGCTTTTCAAGTTCAACATTCCGATACTTGTAATGCATGCTGGTGAAAAGATCTTTAACAGATAACAAAGTCATCAGATGCTAAGTCAAATTTATTCATTTTTGTAAGACATCCAATGTACTACAGTCTCTTTAATCTTTACGATGTCACGTAAATATCCATATATATGGATATTCCCATTCTTTTCTGCTATTTGGACGAGGCAGATCGAATACCTCTGTGATCACTGAGTTTAGGTTGGCAAATACAGAAATCGATCGACCATGGATGATCCTTTAGAACTTCTTCTGTTAAACTCGAGGAAAAAGCCATTTCGTTCTCAAATACCGATACCTTTAGTGATTAGCTTGGTTATTTCATCTTTTCCTGCCTACTCGTTAGAAACAATGTGAAAATGAAAAAGAACAAAATATATTTGAAGTGTGATGGTTTCAATCTAACAGCGAGACCATTAAAATGAATTTCTCGAATCATATGAGTTATCGGAAAGTAAGTGTTCTCACGCAACTTTTGATGATATCTGAAAGAGAGTGAAAACGCTGAAATAGGAACTGCCATTAGTACATTTAAACGCGTTTTTTCAAAATTCTTGTCTGCTTGGGACATCAATTCATTCGAAATAAAAAAAAGACTCCGTCACCAAAGCATTTTTATTGCCCTATTAACATTCTAAAAAAAAGACAAGCAACTTCGGTAATAATAAATTTCTTTTTCTACCTGCCATACAAAGACTGCTGTAGAGAATTGAGATAAAAAAGAAAAAGTAAGTGTCGTTCTCTCACTGAAGAAGTGAGAGTGGCTGTTGTATTTACTTTAACTTCATTTAGAAGGTTTCAATTGAGTGAAAAATGAAATAGGCAGAAAAAGCAGCATTGATTTTTAGTGGTCGTATTCTGACTACGTGTTGCCCTTTCAAATCGACACTGCTAATTTTATGTGTATGTGTGTGTGTCTTGCACAGAATGATGATCACAGAGAAAACATGCCACAAGACTACATTTGAGATGAATTGGTGAATGTGCGTGAAGTGAAGACGCACAGTCGCATTACACCCCCTGCTCTTGACGATAGCCGAATGATTGGCTCTTTTGAGGTATAGGTGGACTTTCTCTGCATCTGTAGATCCAGGCGCTTGCCCAACCACAGCATATAGTTGATATCTTGATCTGATAAAAATTGCAGATCAAAAAATTAAAACGATGGATTTATTGAAAATGCTGGGGTCCATTAGGCGAAACTTGGCTAAAGTATTCAATATCGCGATCAAGACTTCACGAATGAGTGAATCATTTGAAAGTTATTAGAATCAGATACTCCGCTACTACTGGGCAAAATAAAGACTAAATAGCTTTTACTAATCTGCGGATCTACTACAGAGAATGTTCTTTCAAAAATCAGAAAAGCAAACTATTATTATTAAAGCTAATAATGATAGTTCAAATCAATGTTTACTATCATCTCGTAAAAAGAAAAAAACATCTTTTGAAGTCTCCTCTATCGCCGAGGGAAAAAATTAATCACACTCATCCAGGCGCGGCTGAGATGACTCGTACGACATTCTGTCTATATTTTAATTTTCGTCTGAAGTTATTTCTTACTAGTTTATTAATATATTCACTTGTGCTTTTCGTATGAAGAGTACTAAAAGCAGTAGCTAACATTAATTGTCGAGCACGTTGTTGTTCTGATGGAATTTCCATAACAGAAATGTCTTTCATACGTTCATCATAAAGTATTTGAACAGGATGAAGAAGAACACGTTGTTCATTATGATGAACGAGAATTTGATAGCCAACTAGCTAGACGATATATTAATACAGCTCTAATTTTCGAATAAAGAAAAGTACTTATTTGATGTATTATAAATCAATGAGATATTATCTGGAAGACAAGAAAAAAGAAAGCCTAACAAGTGGGTGTAGCTGAGAAGACTCACGCTCGTGCCTACATTTATATCCATGCCTCGTATTTCACCCTTTTTTCGAAAATCTCTGTTTGGACTAGGACAAACTCGAAATAAAAATTAACCAGATAAAGACTATCGCTTTCGAAAGGGGTATAAAGTGATGTATTTTTTATGGGAATCCAAGAAAAAATAGAAACTGAAGTTTTAATAAACTCAATACTTCGTTTTGTTTAGCATTCGATGCTAATTCCTAATTATATCGAAATATTAAATTTATGAACAAACATAATTCAAAATAATTTTAGTCTGACTTCATCGAGATTTTTGGATATTAATAAAATGATTATCCTAACTCACTAGTGGTAGAAAATAGATACAAAAATAAAAACATACTATAGGCTCAAAACGGATTTGTCATTTAATCGAGCAAAACATACTAAAAAATGGAATTTATTAAATAATTCTATCTCAAAAAACTCAGATTCTTTGTAAATGCATTATCATGTGGGTGTGGGTGTAAAGATGATATGAGTGCCTGTGAATATCTTTGTAAACTGCACCTATATTTACACCCACACTAGCAGCATGATGAAATTCATAGTAGAAATAAATAGTCTGTCTTCTCTGAAGATGTATATACGGCGAGCCGTTCGCAAACGTTGCTAAGGAGAATAATTTCGATTTTGTTTTGAAATTTACTATTCCCGATGATATTCAACAATGGCTACAATTGTATCGTTGTTCTATTATGCCACAAACCGTAACAATAGTTTAGTCATCCACGAGAAATATAAAAAATCCACTTTGTTTTCTTGCGAGAACCTTTTTAACGATGATGTACTGATCATCTCATGTTAATATAGAGACTTTCTTATCAATCGGAGGATTATTTGATAAGTATTGAATTAAAGTAAATCACAATATTGTTATCAATGATATCTTTTCACAAGGGGAGAAAATCAAAAGAATCAATTAGTTCTGTAATCAAGCACTTGCCAATAATTTCAATAACAACTTTCTTTCGTTAAAAATTATTGAGAGACAGGATATTTTCAATTTAATGAAGTGAAGATGAAAGCGACTAACACGTTCAAGTTCTAACTCGGTTTTGACAAAAAAGATTAGCGTAATTGGCGGTATGATGGATGAAGGAAAATTATATTTATTATGTATAAATTTT